ATTATGGGCTGTATCCACGCCATGCAACCCACTCACAATCTCCCTTTACTAAGGGGGGCTTCCCGCTTTCAGTAAATCCAAACTCGGAACTAGTTGTGACATCACGAGGGAGACGCAGAAAAGATGCACAATGTTAATGGTGTCCGTCTCAGGTCAGCTTCAAGGGCGAAAATTACAAAAACAGCCGAAGCTGACACACAAGCTGAAACTCGTTAAAAATAAATAAAATACCATCGCTATCCCTGGCTGTGGATGGAGGCGATAGCCCACAATGGGACAGGACCCGAGCCATGCTGGTCTACTCCAGGAGTATTCCTGTGAACCACCGCCAAAGCTGAAAGTGGACAGTCTCCTCAGCAAAGGAGCTACATCAGTGAGCTGGGCGGCCTGTGGGAATCCAGGCAATTGAGTGCCCGTGGGAACGTAGCACTCGAAAAGACATCAGCTAGTTGTCATCATGACCATTTAGCAGTAAGACTTTGCACTGTTGGCCTAATCAGTAAAGACATCCATGATTGGTGGGAATTACCATGTGCTTGTGGAGTGGTACATGCATCGCTACAGTGTGTATCGTTTTAATGGTACAAAACACATCCCACATTGTAAATCTAAACTATGGTACTGGTAGAAATGATCAAGCCCATAATGGACTCACAATACAGTATACAGAACACTTCCCTGTTCTATTCTGCCACGACTTCACCATGCTCACAGGTTGTGAAAAAGCCACAACAGTCATCAGGTTCAACCTGCAGGCATGAGATAGAGATCACAAACGCAGAACCACACGGTTCCTTTCTGAGGCTCGCATTTCGATATATCGACAGTGAACTTCCCACTCTCATGTGCGAGCTGCTTGTGACCACTGCACACAAGACTTTTCCTATCGAGGTGGGCAGCTTGGGTTTCCGAGTCAGCCATGCCGATATACTGTACACCAGGCTTCTGTGACTCCTGCCACTGACGTGCAGACCCTAATGACAAGAGATCCTACCAAGGTTTCCCCAATACAACATGGAGCAACAAACCAGATGTCCAAGTGCTATTGAGTTCATGCTAATTAATGGCAGATGTGTTAGCCAAGTATGAAATGCACTTTTGCCAAATATAAGTCTTGTATCAGTGAAACATGGAATGCTGTGAAGGTGTGTCCATCACATACGTTGACAATAAATTATTTTTGCATATCACACCTTGCTATGTTTAAGACTATGGTTAATTGACAATGCGATCAGACGCTAATCTTTTGACTGCCTACGTAGGCAAGTAAATGACTTTTGCTTATATTATTGGTTCTTTCGGTAAAGTCACGTAGAAGGGAAAGAATAAAATAATGTAAAAATAATAAAACGTAATTATTATGTTTTATTTTTATTATTCTATTATTTCCCTTCTACATGACTTTACCGAAAGAACCAAGAATATGAATCCCTGCAATCACGAAAGCTTTAAATCGAAATTTACGTTTGCTTAGTCAGTAAAACGGACCACTGCATCCCATGGCACATTACTACTAAACATACATGTACTCATCAGGGGGCCACCAAAGCAATGTTATCACTGCTCCATCCCTTCCCTGATCATAAAAAACAAATAGTTTCCAAAACACACAATGTGTTCTTTACATTTTCAGTTAATAATTTAGATTAACAGCCTGCTAGTGTCGTGGGTCCCACGGAGGCAGACACTTATAACTTGGAGGCAACACGTTTATTATACACCCCAACAGAGTAACTACATAAACACTCGGGATAACTATGTGGTAACTACCACGGAGCCAGACCTCAACAAGGTCACTATATAAAGGGGTCAGGTCAGTAAAGTACTGCCTGACCCATGATGTCGAATGTGACGATCGAAGCCCGAAGAGCAAAGACCGAAGAGCGTAGCACGGCGGGTTGATTCCAGAAGACAGCCAAGAACGCTCCCGGGACTGCCCCTTTATCCTCCTGAGCATGGCCTCGCTCCTCCACGCTTGACCGCGCCCCCTTCGGGATCTTCCCAGAAGGTTCTGGGACCTTACATCACCTACCACTTGGCTCTAGGATTTGGTGTTACATGTTATTTATGCAGTTTATTGTAAAAATTCGTTCACAGTCCCTGTGATCACTGTTACGTTGCAATTATGGCTTTTTTTTTGGCGATTTCGAAAACGTTTTTTGGTTTGGACATGTTTGTTTTGTTGTAGTACGGAGTTAGACTGATGGCCATAATCTAAGTTTTCTTGTGGTTGTTGTTGTTGTTTGACTTGCATCCCACTGGGATTTTTTGCACACAGCGTTGGTGTACGGTGCTTTTTTCAGGAATATTTTTTCTGTTTGCTTTCATGGATTTTCTGTTTGCACAGTCACATAGTCACTTTAAGATGTTTTTCTTGTTCGTGTTTTTTTGTTTGTTTGTTGTGGTTGCACCCGATTCAAGAGCCGAATGGCTCACAGGGCTATACCAAAATAAAGAAACTGAAACTGAACTTGGGTCCCCTTCTGGCCCCCGGCCTTATCCTCTGCAGGTCACGTGCCCTCTTGGGTTCACCTAGGCTGTCACGTATGCCATACGTACTCTGGTGACAGAGAGAGGCTCTAAGACGTACAGTTACACTCTTCTCTCAATAGCTGGCGTAACGCCATTGTGACTCAACATACGTCACCACACTAGTAACATGCTTTCTGGACGCAACACGCTTTCTGGACGCAACACTTGTGCCAGGTATAAATAAAGTTGTACCAATGTGGTGACTCCTACTGGTTTAAATGTCACACCCAATACTTTTGCTTAAAATAAGGAAAAATCGGTCTTATAATTCAGAGAATATGTATAGCCTGTAAGGAGCAGAGCACAGCTCTGGAAATTCAATTATTAGATTGTACTTCTGATCTTTGCTCTCTTTCTCCACAAAACGCAGAGCAGCAATTGAAAATATTGGAAAAAAAAAGCTCCACGTGCTCTCAGGGCTTCGGCAGTTACTGAAGAAGCTCGAACAGCACGTGGAAGTAAAATATCGAACATCACACCAAAAACAACGTGGTGCAACTTGAAAACACATTCAAGAGCTATGCACAGCGCAACTGTGATAACCTATGCAGCATGGTAAAAAAAACCCACAACCTGCAATGCTTGGGGAGGCTCTCATTAAACAGCGGACTAACAAGGGTCTGTACATGGAGTGCATCACACTATGTTATGTACAGTGTTAGTTTAAATAAAAGTATTGCACAAAGATTTGCACCTGTCCGCAGCAAGTGGAGGTTCCACGCAGTTTCTAAGAGGCACTAGTAATCTCGATGTGCCAAGGGTGCCAGTCTGTTCTCGCTTCACACTGCCTGCTTACAGATGTTAGCATCCCACATAACAAGAGGTCCTCTGTAATAAGGCTCAACCCGTAGGACCGTTTCAAAGAAAAGCATTCACCCAACACAACAAAGAAGTCGCCACGTAACAACTGCCCCAGCATACCATGGAATCACATGCCAGGTACACGATCTTCATCGACGCATTTCAAGCGATTCCACCACACTCTACCGCGTTTTAATTGGCTCCTCTGCTCAGTCGTTTCCTTCCGTGTCGTGTCGTGCCGGGCAGCGGCTTAAAACAGCGACAACTGCACACGTGCGGTAAGCGACAGCGCTGCCCCGGGTCAGATGCGACTCACATCTCTGCCTGCGCTGTTGTGCAGCACACAATCTCATTACTGAAGTGACGGGCAGGCGGGCAGGCGGGTGGTGGGACGCCTGGCGACACCTTATCTGGGCCGGCTGCTGCCCGGGCAGCTCAAGTCTTGGCTGTCCTCTCCTTATCCACCACAAACGTTGACGCTGCCCCACACTGCGTGTGTAGTGGGAAAGTCGGCACACACCATGCCGATTTGTACAGCAGTGGGGGTTAGTTCAGCAAAGTGTAGCGGTTCCGACTGCCGCCACCGTAATGTGAGCTTTCAGTGGCGAGCTGAAGCCGTCTTGAACTCACCGCCATTCAACCCACACGGACCAGGGTGGGTTAAAGTAGCCAAACGTCGCCCATGACTGGACACGGTGGTATAGAAATGTCTTCATCCGGTCAATTTTACAAAGGGATGAAATTCATGATGTTACACATTTGCTGTTTACTGCGGAATCAAAACATAGCATTGCGTGCCCTTCGCGCTGTATGGGTTGCCGCTAGACTTGCACTGTAACGATAACCAATTAATTATGCCATATTAAACACAAAATCTACAACACTTGACAGCGCAAACACCGGCCGCTACTGCTGACCGCGATAGCCAATGTAATTCCGCGAAAACAACAGCCACATTGGCGAACAGCAGCACACACAGCGTCTCGTTGGGTGGGTGACCCATACTCAAGCAGTTAGGCCCCATAGAACGAGTCGCACACACGGACCGCATCACCCCGAATGTGTCCCATCTCGTTATTAATATGAAACTAAGCGGGGTGGAGTATTAACATGGGTGCCCACCATGATCAAAACAAGTTGTTGTGTTATCGGCTGATACGTGGTGCGACTACGTAGTTCTGCACAAACTGCAGTGTCAACACAATCAAGTACTGTACCGTACTTCTATGCTTCCACGTCTATGCACCCCCACTCCCCGCCTTCACCAACCTGCCCGGAGCAGCGTCAAGTATGGTCAAACAACCTGCACGGCGTAGGGAGGACCGCTCGTCCGGCAGTGGACTGCACAAGGGCTGTCTACCATTCGTGTACTCTCGGCCAACAGCTCTCGCCGCACACCTCTCAGGCACAGGCCACTTAACCATGACACACAACAACAAAAACCTTACACGGGTGGGTGGGTGGCTGGCTGCAAAGAGGGGAGAGGCATTGCGCAAGCCGTTCGACCAGTGAACATTCGCGAGTAGCCGATCGCTACGGGCCTAATGGCTCGGCACCCAGCAAGCACCCTGCCGTCTCTCTCATAGTGGTGGTGGTGGTGGTGGCGGGGGAGAGACACACCGGCGTTCAGGCCACACTTGGCCGCCACCGGCCCGCGAGCCACGTACCTCGCGCCTCGCCCCGGGCCGCGGGCCCCGCTCACTCGGCTCGCTCCCAGACAAGCGTGACGCCCCGCCCTCTGCACGAGACCACGCCCCACGAGCCGCCAACTCCTCCCACCTTGAGGTCCCCCCCCCGCCCACCAGCGAGCGGTCGCTGTAAGCGCCGCCCCACGCGCGCCAGGCCCCACCCACAACCCTCCCCCCCTCCCTTCGGCCCGGCGGACACCGGCGCGCTCGCGAACCAATGGGAGCGCTTTGGCTGCGGCGATTCCCTTATAAGGACCAGTGAGGATTGCGAGGGGGCGGGGGTAGCGGAGTCCCGAGCCTCCGCTCAAGCAAACGCCCCCGCCCGCCCGCCTCGCTCTGCCTTGTCCCGCCGTCCCCACTGCTTTAAAGCCTTTATCATGCGCCCGCCGGCTACAGGCTCAGCGAGAAATGGCCAAACCGGTTCGGGCGAAATAATAACCTGTGGGCAGCCAACGGCGCGCCTGCGTTGAGGCTGTGAGCAAGAAGACAACACGGGGCTGACCGGCGACACGAGGGTCAGCGTCGTGTGAATTTCCCCATAAACCGTGGCGTCCACGCGCCTAAACAAGGGGTCGGGAGTCCTGCCCCTGGGCCAGAATGACGCCCTCCACTCCATGTCACTTTTAATAAGCCATTGCGTATCGTCAGCAGCCGCCACGGGATATTACGTCCGAGGTTCATGCACGGATGATGCCATAAATCACCAGACCGACATTAAATTGCTCCAATGAGCAGAACTGTGTTTATTACATTACCACGATACAGGGTCCCAACGAAATATATCAGTGAAAACATGTCGAGGTCGCTCTGTGAGTTTCGTGGCGGTAAATTAAACCATGGGGAGATGCCTGCATGTATGTGAAAGACGGCGGGGCGACTCGTGTGACTTTAAAAAAAAAGAGTTACTTTCTGCGGAGCCCAACAGTAGCGCATGGGGGCATCGCCACCAACCCACAGGAGGACACCCCTGGAACTTCTTAGCTGCTATAACATACAGTATGAATAAATCAAACCGAATTAGCGCCTCCGCCATACATCAGCGGCTGGCTCCACGCTCTCTGCCTGTCTGCCAACAGCGAACGTGAAGGGAGGAGGGCACGAGCCAATACATACCACTCACTCCCTGCAGGGCTCAAAGCCTCGTGTCAGCCCAACTATTGGCGGGGCGCAGCGTGCTTGCGAACACGGCGAGTGCTGCGCGTTCGAATGCACCGCACCGTTAAGTTTCAACGTCACGTATCCGACCGTCACACACGCCCTGGACCCATTTAAAGTCAGCACACACACACAGAGGGCAGCCTCTGTGCACGGCGTTAAGAGTCGCTAATTACGTGCACTCAGAACCCCACTCGCGGAGAGACGGTCATTGAATGTGTATAAGTACTGTTGCATGAACACGTTAGGTCATTTTACAGCACCGCTAAAAATATCAGAGCACTTTCTTTCAAATAGACTGACAGCGTTATAGCAGGACATAAATAAAGAACTGCACGCGCAAATTACAAGAATATCTATGAAAAAAGCCCAGCGTTTCAGAAGGCCTAAATAAAAAGTTATGGAAAGTGCCCCCCTCCCCCCACACCGATGTGGGGGTTGATCCAACAGGTTTACAAGAATTCTCGACCCCCCTCCCAAAAAAAGTATGTTGTAGGCATATATGCCTACACAACACCCTACATACAACAGTCAGTAGTATCTGCAGACATTGGGGGGGGGGGAGAGGACATTTGTGGGGGCGACGGGCGAGGCGTGAAGCGCTGAGAAGCCCTGAGAATTTCGGCGGCTCGTGGCCGCCAAAAGTGGCCGCTGAAATTCGAATTCATTGAAATGGGTCGTACACTAAACGTATACTACACTAATGGATGTAAACCAGACTTTTTGTTTATTGTAAACGCAACAAGTTAAAATACTTTACACTGCTAAGGTCACATTACCGTGGAAATTATACCAAACAATTCAGATTTCAATGACAAAGGGAATAAAGTCCATGTTGGAATGTATGAGAACTTACTATTTAGGATTGAGATCACTCCAGTGCTGAAAGTACACTGCGATTCAACATAAACCTTCCAAATTATCCCAGCCCTGCACACACCCATGGGAACGTACCCGACTGCCAAATACCTACGCCGAAACACGTGCATTGTGAGGTCACAGCATTGGCTGATTGGTTGGCTCTTTGCAGGGAGAGAATTAGCCTTCGTACAGTACTTAACATACACGTATGTCTGACGAAGTTTGCAATCGGTGCATTATTACTCGCTATGACAAATGGATCAGAAACAGACACTTGTAAATGCAAATGTAACAACAGCTGAAAAGTGTGTAAGGAAGGCTAGCTTGATGCAGGTTTGAAATTACAATGAGAGACAAGAAGAGGAATACATGGATTGGGGAAACAACACACAAATTGGAAAGATTAAGGCAAGTGAGCTTGGGCAGGATGCACGGCGAGAATAAATGATGACCGACAGACGAAAATGGTCACAGAATGGTAACCAGAGGAGTAAAACACGCGAAAGAGATGGACAACCCTCATGGAGTTGGAGTCGTGGGATCGGCTTGTAGACAGGAGTGAGAATCATTGTGGCATGGCATGGGATGGAGATGGCGTGGGAGGGGGGATTCATCCCGCATCATGGCTGATGATGATGGTGATCAGATTGAATATGAAGCGCTATACTATATTAGAATGCACTGCCCAATAAGCGTACAGGCTAAAGGCACTACAAAACACCCCGTTTTACCAGCCTGTTCAGCAGAGGCTTGTGCTGCTCAAAGTTCGCACACGTGGCTGATAGCCACGACGCACTTTTAATTTATGTAAAAATTGTTTCTTAGTGTGGCAATGCATTGTACGTATGTTGACCTTTTTCGCACCAAACGTAGGCAATCGTGCTAATCAGAGGCGCGGAAGGCCAACAATCATAATCAGTACGTGTTTAAAAAGACAGCACATGAAATTATTATTGATTTGTAGAGTATCTTGACTCCAGCTCACAACCGTGCTTAACAAGGTTTTACAAAAAAGCGCTCCAACTTAAACCACTTCGATATGACACCAATGCCATTACAGTCATCATCATCAGCCAAGGTCAATCCACTGCTGGATGAATGACTCCCCAAGCCGCTGCGATATCTCAAGATCCTAAGATTGAACAGCCATTACAGTAAATATAGATAATAAACAGCATTCTCCGTGTAGTGAAACATGAGCACACTATGCGCATCTCCATTCTGGTGAAGTGTTTAACAGGGTGTGCTGCTGGCACTGTTGAAGCCCGTACGAAGAGTTAACATCTTGCAATTTGAGGATGCGCTTTTTGGCCGATCCTACAGACATTAGCAAGACCACTTCTTTCAACTTGTGTCCAAAGGAATGTCGAGTCTAAAATTAATTGTGGGGGTAGAGAAGTGGTGCGGTGGTTAGCGCACTGTGCTATTAACCAGGCCACCTGAATTGTATTCTCAGCCATGACTCGCATCAGTTATCGGGTGACATCTGAACCTGTCCTGCCCCCACCACCATTCACCAAACCGCACTGGCCAGTTGAGTGAAGTACGGTCAAACAACCCCTGTGACGGACGCGGTGAGGGAAGACACTTTACAAAGGGCTGTAAATCTTATTTACTTAAATAATTGCCAATATAAAATAAGATGGACAACACACAAATAATGTTGCGCCAATTTCTCAGCCCTGAGAAAGCTGGAAAGCTGGGAGATACATAACAGTTGATTTATACAAACAATACGAGATTATCTCAATCTAATTCCATTGAAATAAGTATAGATCATAAACAGCATTATCCAAACGAACCTTATAGCGGTCCCATAAGCCCCCGGCTCTCGCATAAATTGCGTTGCGACGTCATTTCATGTCTGTTGAAGGCGAACGACACGGCAATCTATTCCTCTCGACGAGTTCTACACGATGCGCTAATCAACGTTTCAGAGTTTTGTTTATGACGATGGCAATTTTGGCAACGACGGGTGCTTGGTGAAGAACGAGGAGAGGATTGATTTCTGGTGGGTCGCGGCGTTTATGTGCGCAGTGGGACAGAGTCGCACAAAATAAATAAATTGATTATGATTTTGACTTCCGTTTATTCGGGACTCCCCGGGAATCCGCCATAAGGTTCAAATGTACAAACTAAACAAGCCGTGAAGCCAGTTTATTAAGGCATCCTCGACAGTGATGGGGGAATCGATTCGATCGCACAAAGAAATGCACGTGAGGGAAATTACAAAAACACAAATACAGGCTTATGTACATGCTGAGCATATACACTTACTGGTTACAGCAATGTTATTAAAAATAAACATTTTAAATAGTATTTTTCACCAAACTTGCTCCAAGGCGAGTTTCATTTTTGCTAAATTTCCCTGTGCATTTAATTGGCGAATGCCACTGACATACCAGCTTTTATAACGTTACGATTACTGCACCTCCTTGCTGGGCCCTAATGAAGCCATCTGTTGGTCCACGCGTGCGTGACCAACCGCTCCACAAACTTGTCTGCTCAAGCAACCACCTCTGTCTCTTTAACACCCTGTCCTGGCATGGTCATTTATTCCCTGAATACCAAACAATTCCATGGACACGTTATTACCAGTAAGTGTTGAAGATGGCAACTACAATTAAAAAAATATATGGATTACGTTTATATTAATGACTACCACACTACAAGCGTGGCCACGACTGATAATACTTTACTTAAGTACCAACTGCAAGGTTTGGAAATTAGGAGCATGACTAGGAGGACTACCTCAACAGGTCTAAGTTGTGATGACTAAAGTAATTGTAAAAAAATGATGTAAGCTAAGGTTTGTCATAATTCCAATTCCAGAGACAATAACGCAGAGAACTTCAGGCTGGGTCAGGACCACTTGTACCGAAATTGTCAAAGTAAAAAAATTAATGATATTCAAATTGTTACCACTAATAATGTAATTAATAACTATTTAACATAAAGAATACACATTAAAACATATACAGGAATCCCGCGCGCCTCTTTCCAACCGCGGTTTGATGTATACACGGTTTATTTGTATACCAATATACCAACCGCGGCCTGGATATTTGAGTTTTCACGGGTTAGC